CAGCTGCAAAACAGAGACAGATGAGGAAGAATGACCCAGTGATTGTATGAACATCCTTCCATATGATTCTGATTTATAATCAGAATGTTTGGAAGCTGAAGACATTACCTCTATTTCTTGTATTTATGAAAAAGGAAGACTCCTTTTATCAGTTGCTGTGTTATAAATGAATGAAGTGCATTTTAAAAATCAGGCACAGTATTAAACAGAAATCCAAACTGTGGTTAATGAGTGATAGTTGGAGTAACAGCACTGTCTGCTCACCCAGCCCCCTCTGTGGAACTCACGTTCCCCTGGACTTTGCTGTGTATCACCAGTTACATCCTGACACAAAGCCAACCTCCTGCAGCTTATTTCAATTTCTTAGAATTCCTTCCTGAATTGGCATTACTTCTTTATAACATCATCATCATTTGTGGAGAGCTGTTACTCTGTCCCCAGGGGCACTCGAGTCAGGGCTCTGAGGGTGATACAGAGAGTTTACATCAGTGTTCCTGTCATCTGCTCCTTATGTCCTTCTCTGTGTCCGTGGCTCATCCTCATATTAACCTGCTTTTCCTTGTCTTGTGCTTTTATAAGAAAGGGGAAGGTTAATTTATTCTTTTTTTTTCCCCGTGCAGAAGATGAATTTATGCAATGAATTATAAGATAAATTTTTTTCTTTTAAAGTAATTGGGTTGTTAGAAATGCTAATTTTGGACGAAATACTTTAAAACACCAGATGATAAATGTTTGTATTTGTGGAGTTCCATAACTTGCAATACACACAATTTGGCTTGTAGCTGAAAAGTTCATACTCCTGCAGCAGTACTGGAAAATGATTGTGAAGTCTCTTTGGTGTATACTTTTTTTGGTTAAAAAATACAGCATGTTCTCCCTTCCTGCTTTTCAGGTAGGAAATGCCTACATTTATTACTTGCAATGATCAAATTGAGAAACAAAGAAGGAAATGGATACATATTGTAAAAGTGGAATGTGAATAAATTAAACTAAGAAAACGTGAACTGTAAACCATCTGTTTTCTATAAAGGAGTCTTTGCTAATCCACATAACTTTTATTATCAGAATACTGAAGTATCTCAAAAAGTAACCCTTATAAAGATGAAATACCATCCAAAAATATGGGGAAAGGCAAAATAAATTCCCACTATTTTGAGGCTAAAAGAAGAAATGGAGACACTTGGATTAAATAACTAAATGTAGTTATTTATCTTCCTTTATTTTTAGTTTTTACAATAACCTCTTGTGGCTGGTGCTTCTGCTGAATTGCTAATGGAGACACTGAGCTGTGAACCAGATCAGGCTTTGCTCTGTGTTTTCTGATTCTGCTGTTAATAAGCTCATTAAGCTGTCTGATGCTTGTTAGATCTTGCTGTTTACTGATGAAATAAGATTTTAATACATGTTTAGTTCTTAATTTACAAATCTATTTTCTTCATAAAACCACTAACTAATAATCTGAGAGTAAATACTGGAGCAAACATGAAGCAAGTATGTTTTGTTACCAAAATCTGGTGGCTGTGCAGTGGTATAATTGGTTTATCCAGAACTCTACACTTGCATGGCTGCTTTGAGTACCTGGATCAGGGTGGATGTCTGTCTGCTACAGGACACTGCAGAGTGGAGCATTGTAGGCACTCTGTTCCCAAATTTAAGGAGCTGGAATATGCCTTGGAATAGAACCATAGTTGGTAGTGCTTAAAAAAAAAAAAAAAAAAGAGTTAAAATTCTACTCTATGGAGGCACTAAGCACTTCCCAGTAGGGAGGAGCAATCCCAGCAGGTTACCAAGCTCAGGGTAATGAGAGCACAGACCTGGCTGTGGAATCAGCAAGAAGGTCAGTGCACAATGTCCTGTCTCCAGCAAGGGCCGTAAGCAAATGCTTTGGGAAGGCTGGGAACAGGATAAGCACGTACAATCCTTGTCTCATCCTGTCTTCAAATGTTCTTCCATTCTCCAGCTATTTTCAGATCAGCTTTTTTGTACCTGCTGTGCTTTGTTTAACAACCTGTAATGGATCTCTTCCAAAAAATACAATTCCTTGTCCAGTCTTCTCTTGAAACACTGTAAAATTGCTGCTGTATGCTCGGGAACTCGGTTTAAGGGCTGACTTTTCACTGCCTGTTCACTTTGTACCTGGGACATAATCACTTGATAGCTCCTAATTTTGTGGGGATCTTCTGCATCTCCTCTTAGGCATTTCTTTGCTGAGCTTGTGAGTGCCTTTTATGCTGTTTAGACAGAAGCCATTCCTTACCTTTGGTGGCCTCGTTACCTTTGTCAGATCCTTTTCTAATCGTGCCCTATGTAGTTACACCGACTACCTGAGGGTTTGGAAATCAATTATTTGATTAATGTCTGGGTGAATCACAGATTTATAGTGGTGTCTTGATGTCTCTCATTTTCTCTTTCTCTCTAGTTACTCTACATTTCAGTTTGCTGCTGGGTACTAAGCCAGTGTTTGCATTGAGCCACCTACTGAACTACTTGAGTCTTGCTCCTGAGTGGTGACAGTGAGGTCACACTTCCATCTTTTCCTTGGATATCACTTCCCATTTAACAATGATGAGTTTCATTGGCTGTTTTAGCATCCCAAGGTCTTGTTGCAGTCCTTCTTCATCGATCCTTAGCGCTCGTAATCTCCTTTCTCAGCCCTCCTTGTCCATCTCTTGCAAATATTTTCAACTGAATAAATCCCAGCAGGAATTTATCCAGGCCCTTTGCAAAGCTCCCACCAGTGGGATCCCTCCACAGTAAGAACTGCCTGTATATTCTTCCTTAAAAACCTCTCAGAAATTTTGATGGGCAGTTTGGACCAGGATCTCCCTCTTCTACATCCTTCAAGATTCCCTCAGAGAACTCCAAGAGATTTTCAAGGGCAGAACATTGTGGCTTTTACAGAAGCCATTCCCAGTCTTACCAGAGCAAACTGCATTCAGCTCAATATCCATGAATTCTGTTCTTTATTGTGAATTCCCATTTCTCCAAAGTCTGTAGTTCCCTGATCACCCTAAAATCTTTCTGGAAGAACAGTGTCCCATTTGCCACAGATGAGAGAGGGTAACATTAATTGAAAGAAAAGTGAGTTATAATGGTTCTGTTTGTGATACAATTTTCATGTTCCATTTGAAGGAGTTAAATATAATAAGACTCAAATGGGTTAAATGTCTAAATAAGCTCTAAAGCTTTCAATAACTGTCAGTTGGACTTAAACTGTAAGAAATGTATATAACTAGTTGCTGCAAAGTCCATATTTTTAATTCTACTTTAAAACTAAAGCTAAGGTTGACTTGAGAGATGATTTTAAAAAGCACTGAGTTTGTGATAGAAGATATAATATTCCTGCTATAGATGGATAGTGTTCTTTTTTTTAAAAAAGCTGAGCAAACCTTTCAAAAAAAGCCTCAAATTTTAGATTTGCATTTTATGAACCATTCACTTAAAACCTGAAATAGCTGAAAGCTTCCCTAAGGTTCATATACTACATGTTTATATTGCTATAAAGTTATAAACATATAAGCTATAAAGTTATAAACATATCTAAAATTTTATCTAAATATTGTAATGAGTATGCATATGTTCCTTGTTCACAAGCCAGAGGTACTGGAGGTTGATAAATGTTAATAAATATGTTTTAAGAGGGAGGAAGACAAGATTATATTCGTGGGCTTACAATGAATCTTTATGTTAAAAATGTGGCAGTAGGTATTTTCATTTTCTTTAAAATTGTTTCACCAGAAACCAAAATATATGAAGATGGGCTTCAGAAAATAACTGAAAATTCTTTTTTTTTTTACTGTTGAAAATTGTGATTCTCCCTCACAGATAACAAAGTTTTAATAGGGGAAAAGTGCTGAAAAATAAAGAAGGAAAAAAAAAGAAGGCAATAAAGTGCTCTATAGTGTTATCATACTCTGTAGTTATTTGGATCTGTTTCTAGGCATAAGACACCAAAAAAATCTGCATAGCTCAAGGATTATACAGTATTTCAGGTTCCTTAAAGCAGCTTTAATTCTACTTTGTAGCAGATTATAGCTCACTGGTATTAGCTTTGCAAAGGGATAGTCTAAAATAATGGTTCAAAAAACCTGGAATGCTTCTATTTGTACCTGTTCTACCTGACTAACAATTCTAATAAAAAGACTATGTTACATTTTTCTGTGTTTGCTGGAGTAATATGGGCTAAAGCACAGGTAAAATGGAAATGCCAGTGGTTCTGTTGTGTTAATGCTCGTGCTTCCATCAAGAGCGTGATGAAAGGTTGTATATTGCCTATGTTACTAATAAGCTGAAATATCATTTGAAGGATTGTGATAGCTGAGGTACAGATAGAGAAGTAAATGTTATAATACACCTTGTCAGGTCACTTAAAACATAGTATGGGGAAGGGTTTTTTGATTTGGTTTGGGGTTTTTTGTGGTTTTTTTTTTTGGTTGTTGTTGTCTTTGTTTTGTTTTGTTTTTTGAGAAAAATCAAAGTTTGATTTTCTTGTCCAGTTAGAAACTGGAAGAAGAAACATTATTTCTGGGGGAGGTGGAGGAACCTTGTGGAAGTATTTCTATGACCTTACCCTCCTGTGCTGCTCTCTAGTGTGTCTGTTTTGCTCTGCTGTCAGCAGGAGGATGCAGAGCTGGGAGGATTTTTGCCCTTAACTATTTGCTCCTATTGAGTGTGACATTTGTTCGTGTTTTAGGCATTTTGCAGTTGGATCACTTTAGAACACAGAAGTTTTCTCAGGTCAGTTTTCTTCAGCTTAGGCAGCTCACCCAAGGGTGAGCCCACCATCAACCCAGGTACATATCAGACTTTAATGCTCAGGTGAGTGCTCTTTGTTCCTACTGTTACGGTTTTGACTCCACCAATAAGAGGACATTTCCCTACACTAAAATCCAATCTCCACAAATGAACCTTCAACAACCCAGACTATCCAATTGTTCCAGAATGGCTGTGAATGACCCCCAACTAAGGAAAACTGTCCCTGTACACTCATTAACAATCCTTCAGTGAAAGTAAGCATGGAAGTAGTTGTCTTCTGCTTCCTGATCTTCCTCGGTGTCTTGATTGTGCGTCTCATGATTGTCTTCTGCTTCCTGGTATTCCTCTGGTGTCAAGAACCGCCGGAACACGGGTGTCCTGAGCCGGGTTGGCTTGCTGACAGTCACATTTTGTTCTCCATAGTAGATGGTTCTGACGAGGGGGAAGCAGAAGAAGGCGTAGCTGCTGATGGGGCTCGTCAGCTTGTTCTGGTCCACGCGGATGTAGGTCAGCTGGTGGATGTTCAGTGGGTCCAGGGTTGGGCACATCAAAGTAACATTTATGTCTGCAAGAGAGTGGAAAAAATCTTAATTAAAATGCGGAAAACTAAGACCTTTTGCCAGAGTGAAACTCAAGGTTTTGAAATTTAAAATGGGAAATACTTTTGCGGTGCACAGTAATGTCATCTTTGTGTTTTTAATCAGTTTTGTAAATGGCAGTGATGACAGTTTTGGAGTTTGCAAAGTATAAGGTTGTGGAGTAAAAAAAAAAAAAAAGACTTCCACTACAGTGTGTAATTAGTATTTTATGTTAATGAAGTATTTTTGTAATTCCTTTTCTCTCTATGTTTTTATCAGTTGCCGCATCAGAAACAATTTTCAAAAAGTTTTTAGCTTGTTATATGAAAAACTGGTATTAAATTTTACAAGGAATTGCAAATTAGGGGTAAACTGAAAAATCAAATCCTCTCTAATTTCACCAGTTTGGTCTCAAATGACTGAGGATGTGTTTACAATGCATCCTGAAGAAAATGGGTTGATATTCTCCCTGTACTCCTCCCACAACCAGTGCCAAAATCCACCAAGTTTTCTGCTTTTAAGGAATTTTAGCCATCAACATACTTTCAATTTCGTTGCCTTCAATATACAGGTGCTGCAGACTTCTTGGAATGTAGAATACTTGTTTCAATTTGTTGTGCCCCAGGTTAAGTTCCAGGAGGTTGGGCAGGTTAAAGGTGTTGTGCGGGATGTTCTGCAGGTTATTGTGGGACATTCTCAGAGCAATGATTCTGGGGAGTCTGTGGAAGTAGTTTTCTGGAATATGAGAGATGGAGTTATTTTCAAGAGAGAGGTGCATCAGCGATGACGGTAGATCAGGAGGCATAGTCTGTAACTTGTTGTTGCATAAGTTGAGCTGCATCAGATTTTTCATGTTGGAAAAGGGTCTGTCTTTGAGCACCGAGTCATCAAGTAAGTTACTGCAGAGGTCCAGCATGGTGATGTTGGGTAATCCTTCCAGGGCATCCCCAGGTATCCGGGAGATCTTATTGAAGCCAAGGAGGAGTCTCTCCAGAGAGCTGGGCAGCGGGACTGGAAACTCTTCTAATTCGTTGTGTTGCAAATGAAGTTGCACCAAGCTTGAGAGTTTGGCAAAAACCCCCGGGTCAATCATATGGATTTTAATTTTGTTGTAGCTGAGGTCGATTTCCCTCACAAAGGTGACGTTGGTGAAGGGTGCTGCAGGCACAGCTTCGATGTCATTGTTCTGCAGGTAGAGTTGTTGGGCGTGACTGGGGATATTTGGTATCGCCTTCAGCCTCCGATGGTCACAGTACATGGACAAGGGGAAGGCTGGGGGGCAGAAACATTCCCTGGCACACTCGGCTGGGAAAGGAAAGGGAGGAACTTCAGCTTGCGTGTTCGGGTTCAAATAATACGGAGTTTGATGGTCTGGCTCGTCGTACTCATCCTCAAAATCATAATCTTCATACTGACAAACGACCAAAGCAGCCCAGAGGAGGTGAAAGATTGATTGGCTCAGAATCCCCATATTTAAATTCATATGTTGTGACCTGTTGATGAGAAGGAAAATTAAGTTTTAGATAGTCACAAAGTAAGTTTAACTTTTAAAAAGCAGCGATACATAAAGAAGTAAGTAGAATAGTGCCTTTCTTTGGCAGCACTGTCAGTGCCATTATTAACAAAACCAGAATAAGCAGCTGTGAGTCATGTCAGGCTCTTCAACCTAAACAGCAGCAGATGAGTCAAAATGTAACATTACAGGTCAAAGCACAGAAACCACCAAAAAGTTTGAGAGACTTTGCTCAGTGTAGGATGAGAACCCTGAGGCAGAGAGAGGAAAGCAGATATTCTCAGAGGTTTGTATAATGACATCCATGTTTCTTAATGTATTCTTGGTACTCTTAATATTTGGTTACTGAACGCTGTCAGTAACAAAGGAAATGAGACTTAAAAATGCTAATTTCCTATGAAACCTAGTGGTGATTGCCTAATGCATGATGTACTCTATGAATTGAACAGGAGAGAGAGAATTCTAAGAAAAAAAAAAAGTAGTAACAAACTCGTGGTATTAATATATCCTTGTAATCTGGTGTGACCCAGAGCCTGTGTGTGCCGATGGCTGGGTGGAATCATGTGCCATGGTCAAACCTGCATTGTTAACTTTTTATTTGAGTGCTCCTGCAATCAAATTTCACGACTGATGAAGACCTTAAAAACAGCTTTGAGTGGAGTCAGGTGTTTGGAACCCCATTGTAGGTGGTTCTTTAGCAAAGCTCCCGATCCCTGCAGCATCACCAGATGTCTGAGCCCATCTGAGCAACCAGCAGAACCACCGAGAGCAGCCTCCCCCTGCAGACACCGTCAGTGCTCTGTGCTGACAAACTGTGCTGGGCTGAGAAGCAATATTTGTGCTTCAGGAGGAATTCACTGGGTGCTGGATTTCAGGCAGAGTGTATCAGGAGAATATCTTATCTTCTAATCAGTCCTGTTGATGTCTACATAGGTAAAATCTGTCTCTAAATCCTGTAACTCCATCCTGGTTTTGTGAACAGACGGTTACACGACCTGTCCTCCATTCCCATTTCACACTCTTGGTTTCCTCTGGATTCCTATGACCCCTTCTTCAGTTTCAGTCCAGAACTTGAGCTTCACCTTCCAGTTCCACCCTCTCAGCATTTTTACTACGTCACAAAATTTCCAGTTAATAGTTTTGGTTCTCAGTGCCACAATTGTCCTAAGAAACCAGGAGGAACAACTGAGGAAAGTCTGCTCAGTTTGGGGAAAACCCTTTCTTAGGCCTTTGTGGGATTGATCCACTTGCCATGTGGATGGTGTGAAGAGAACTACCATCATGCCACATGGAAGGATAAATAACAGGTGCCAAAATCTCCCAGTGGTTTTGTGAAGAAACTGGTATTTGGGGGGAACTCTTTGTACCTTGGCAATGGGCGAGTATATTTGATATTTACTCGAATAGTAACTGCCCTGCCGGTCCTGCAGGTCACTTCTCAGAGCACTGAGATACGAACACTTCAGGAGATATTTCCAAGAACTTGAAACAGTCATGTCAGGGAAAACTTGATAACAAGAGACACAAGTCGGACACGCTCCATATGATAAACCACATACTTAGAGCTGAAAACAGAAAGTCTTAAAAGCACAATTCTCTACCATCTGCAACGAACTCAGAGCTCAGTAACGCTATTTGTAAGGAGGCTACAAACTATAGAACATGCATGAATCACCCCTTACTGAAAAAATAACACAATCAGTTCATTTCAGTCCTGCTTACCAAGAAAACTTACTCTTTGGAAGTCGGTGAAGTTCAAGTTGTAGAGGGCAGCAAGTTCTTGTGCTGGTGAAATCATCTGAGACTTAGCCTAGTGCAGCTGGAGGAAAAAAGATCTGTCTAAGCCATATTTTGTGGTGAGGAGCCTTGTGGGAAGGCAACACGAAATAACAGCCTTGGCCCCTCTTCTGATTTGCCAGTAAAATAAAAAAAAAAAAGTGCTTTGTGCCACATCATCAGTTGCTGTAGATGCTGTGTCATAAGGCTGTGAAGCAATTTGTCCTTTTGTTAAAAATCACTACACAACAATTTGCAAAATTCTTTCAGTGTTAACCAGTTCCCATTAAAAAAAAAAAAAAGAGAATAAGACTTCAGAAATGATTACAGAGGTTATTAGTTCATTGGATCAGCTGCAGTGATTGCAAAGGGTTTGTCCTCTGAGGGTGAAGTTAAGAAACAGTAAAAAAAAATTCACCTTTGCCAAAACCGAGGGGAAACATCTTCCATTTTTGTCTCCCCAGTCTACATTTCCTGTTTCCTTCCTGCAAAGCCTTGTGCTCTGCAGTGCTGTCAGAGTGGTAGTGGTGAAGTTAAGGATTCACAGTAAGTTTTTACTTTTTTGCTAAGTTGTGCAGAGAGAGCATAAACCTTGCGAAAAGAGCAAGTATGACATGAGACATAAACCATTTTACTCAAGGAAAATATTTTTTTGTAGCTTTTAAGGGGAATTAAAGAAAAAAAGCACAGCTATCTGCCTTTGATGCTAAGTGATACCTAAATAACTGTGATATATGCAAAAAAATGGAGATAATGGACAGGTTTTGTGTGAACTGGATTAAGTGTTTGATTTATACAAAGCATTTAATTATGCTTTTGGTTTGGTAGAAGAAGTTAGTATTTCCAAGTCTATTCAAAAGAAAGAATCTGGTTCTTAAAGATGTTTCTTAAAAAGTACCTTTGGAGGGATCATGTTTTAAAAAATATTGCAATACTAAGTTTCTTTTTTTGACTTTGAGCTTTGTGACTCTGATTTGCTCGACCTTTTCAAGTCTCTTCTTTTACACTGAGAACAGGAACGTGTTTAAGAAGACAAATCTTACATGATTCTAAAATTTGGGATATACAGAAAAGCACCAGAAGTCATGGCCAAAATAATATTGTAGGAGTTGGTGAATACTGGAACTAAACTAAAGCAGTCATGTATTTATTTATATACAAGAGGGAGGTTGAAAGAGAGAAATTAAAACTCCATAATCCTCAATTAACAGTACCAGAAATAGTTGAAGAGATACGTTGCACCACTAATCCCAAGTAATACTGAAAAAGAGTAATTTTTGGAATAATTAGAATACATTCATAACAAGAGATTAAAAAACCCACCAAGTTTGATGTGCCCAGTTAGTAAAATGTTATTGGCTGCTACAAACTTTGGGAATTTTTTAAGCACAAGACAAAGAACATGTTGCAGATCCTTGGAAGTTTTGTTCTATTAACAGTTCTAAACAAAATATGTATAATGTTTAAAGCAATTTTATCTAAAGATAAAAGAGTTTTAATTCCATACCTGATATTTTTCTTATTGTTTCCTTCTTCTGATTGTGTCCCAAAGTCTCTTAAGCTATTAAGAGACTTAAAATCTCATGGGGCATTTAAAAATCCATGGTGGCAGTGAAGGAGAGTCTGTCCTTTTGAGAAACTGTGGTAAAGCTCTTGATTTAAAGCATTTTGAGCTGCAGATGATGATGCAGCTCTGGCCATGGGATATATTGAGATTCAGTTCCTGGTTTGTTGCCTGAGCCGTCTTGGAGACAAACAAATCTCTACTTTGTGATCTTGGTCAAGTTGTGTGGTTGGATCTTGGTTTTCATTTGAGGTGTGGTAGGAATTTCCTTACAAGGAGGATAATGAGAGGGTTAAATTTAGCATCATTCGTGTAAGACATTTTGTTTCAAAGACTGAAATTTTTTTAAATTTTCAACGTTTTGGTTTTCAGTTTCAGAATATATTTCATAAAGACTTATTTTTACCATCGAATTTGTGAGCTTTTTAACGCAGTTGTGATGCAAAGTGCGATGTCTGTCAATGTAGCAGTCAGGGATGGTTTCAAGCTGATTTATTTTCTTAAGCCAAACTTGATGGACCCTTTTAATAAATTAAAATATTTAGAATTTCGCCATCTCCATAACTTCACTCAGCTTAGGAGGCTTGACAGCTCTTTCAGGTTTGTTTCGGGACTGAAGGCATAAGGAAGAGATCTGTTCTAGTATTGAATGAATTCAGGTTAATTTAGCTAGTTGAGTACAGTCAACCTAACACATTTGAGATTGCCAAATTTTAGACAAAATATTCATAGGATAAAGTAGAGAAGATCACCAGTGACATTGAGGTGAATGGGACTGGCCCTGACAGTAAGAAGGTATAAATTACACTGTTTGGCCTTTTCCTTATATCCACTATTTTAAATTCTTGGGGGTTTTTATGTTTGGGTTTTTCTTGGTGAAGTTTTTTCCTTTCCCTCCCAAACTTGGAATATGAAGTCCAGAGAAAGGAGAAGGGGGGGGGAAAGAAAAAAAGGTGCATCTTGTTTATAGAGAATTAAAGGAACTCAAACAAAGCCAAGCTGCTGAAATTAGACCTGAGGACTGTCTTGGGCACGTAATTTTGCTAGAATTCGGAAGTTCTTCAGCAGAGGGAATTCTCTACTCTCAAATGTCTGAAGAAAAACCTCAAGCTCAAAACTTTTAAATCCTCAGTCGACAACTCGGCAGGAGTTCTGTGTTTTAGATAAGAATTGGTGATGTTGGTTTGCTGTGAGTGATTGCACGGTAGAGAAGTCAAATATAACGAGGAACTGTGAATTGTAATTTGGTTCCCTGTAAAGCCTGTGGGTTTCTGAAGTAGGAAACAGCCTTAGGCACGAGCCATCTGCTGGGCTGCACTTCTAGGCCAGGCTGTAGGCACAGAAGCTTTTTGCATCCTAATTTCTAGGTGTTAACTACCAATCCCCAAATGCTGTCAGAGCACCTGCAACCTGTGTGAATCATGTAGATGGTCTGAAAAGGCACTTCTTGTCCTTGCCATCCCCAAAAGTAACTGAGTGGGAACTTGAATAGTGGCTGCTGGATTTATTTATCCTGTGCCAGAGCTGGAAATCCAGTGTCTGCAGTGCAGAGCTCAGCAAATCAAGATACTCAACTGCTTGTTCCTGCAGAGGCTCCAGCCCAGCCAGAGCCCTCAGTTCAGAACAGCCC